CCGCAGCTTCTCGGCCCCAGACGACATGGATATTCTCAACGGCGCCTAATGTCTACACTGGCTTCTGGCTCTATAGAAATAACCTTGAGCAGCGCCCTGCTGACTGCCAAGGGGCATCGTCAAAGCTGGAGGCCCCCATGGGCCCACGAGGCGCTGCGCGCGGTTGGATACGCGAGTGCGAGCGCAGCCGCTGGGGCCTGCGGTGGAACCCCACGGGGCTACGAAGCGCGGCGCGGGATAGTGAAACCGCGGCGAATTCTAACACTGGGGCCTTCGACGGGGCTCCCCATGGGTCCACGAACCGCCGTGGTGGCCGTGGGAAACGCATTCGAATTCCCTCGCCGGGGCCTTCGGTGGAGCTCGCAATGCACCGCGCGCTGCACTAAATGGGGAAGCGCATGCGGCTTCCGCCAACAGGGCCTAAGGTGGAGCTTCGCTTTGGGCTTCGAAGCGATGCGCTGAGAGAGGGGAGCGCATGCGAGATCCGCCGCTGTTGTTTCCGGTGGAGCTCCATGTGTGGCCAAGAAGTGCTGTAATGGGCCGCGCGCGACTCCCACCACTGAGACCTTCGAAGGAGTTCCCAATCAGGCCACCAAGCGCTGCGCTGGGGATGCGTGCGTGCGCGGGGGGGGAAGGGTCACGAGCGAGAGCAAATTCGCCAAGGCCCAACACTGCGCGCTGGGAGTCGTAGGCCACGTAGCAATCGCGGGTAACGACAAAGCCTGCGATCACCCACGCGCATTCGCCGAGACGACAGCCACCGTGCAATGCTACCGCGGCAGCCATTGACAAAAAGACGTCGCCGACGACTGCAACCAGAATTCGGAAGGGTATCGTTGCCAACTTTACAGCGCCGCGCGTGCGACGACCTCATATCCGCAAGAAAAGCAAAACGACAACGGATGAACTCATACGTTGGGTGGGGATGGAGAGCGGCGAAGCGCACATGAGGACAGACCTGTATAGGACGATCAAGGCCACGGAGAAAACTATGAGAGAGCTGAGAAGACGTTTTTTTTTTTTCCTAACGGAACCATGTTGTCGACAGTAACACGGCAATGCTGCGCACTGGGCTCACACAAACACAGGCAAAACCAAAGAGCCGAGCAAACAAAGAGGCATCGCATCAATGGCCACTTGGCCACCATCGCTTGGATGCGCCAGAACTGGACTGCGAGAGCAACTGCAACCACGAACGCATGCACATCTTAATCTGACGCATGAGTTCCGAAGCGAGCCACATCAACCATAATATCACCATACCGCCCCATTGAACCATACCTTTTTGCACGTGGCTGATCTCTTCTCGGGGCCGGCGGATTGGCGCAAGCCGCTTGAGCGACGATCGGAGCCCGGTCTTGCGCGAAATGGCACAGCGACCTTACGCCGCAGCTCACGCGGGCCGCATGCGCGGCACGCCACATCGGATACGAAGGCGTTCACGCGCGACCCTGCGCGGGCAGCTTGCGCGCCGATGTCGGCGCAGACTACCCCGCCTTCCTTCGTCGCTCACATGAGGCTCGGGATGCAGAGCCAGTCCCAGTAGACTTGTTGATACCCTGACAATGGACACCCTAACATTCCTACCATTGAATGGAACATGTGTTTATAATGCTTGAGGCATGTTGATAAAATGTTTAAGACATGTTTGTTCCGCATGTTTGAGACATGTTTGAAACATGCTTTGGGCACCTGGGACTTATTCGGCAGCATGGCCCATCTCCAATTCATCGTCTTCCACAGCAGGAGGCCGGAGGAGAGATCCAGATGACGGCGCCTCGAGGCCCGAATGTGATGTCGAGCCGCCAAGAGGGGTCCCCAAATGAAGGTAGATAACGATTGCCTGATGCCACTAATCGAATCACTAAAGAATTATCCCAGTGCGACCCTACCTAGGAGTTGGAACCCCTAGGAAAGCAGCATTAGTAGTAACAGTAACGCTAAGCTAAAGCTAAGCTAAAGCTAAGCTAAAGCTAAGCTAAAGCTAAGCTAAAGCTGAGCAACAGCTAAGCTACAGCTAAGCTAAAGCTAAGCTAAAGCTAAGCTAAAGCTAAAGATAAGCTAAAGCTAAGCTAAAGCTGAGCAACAGCTAAGCTACAGCCAAGCTAAAGCTAAGCTACAGCTAAGTTAAAGCTAAGCTACAGTTAAGCTCAAGCTAAGCTAAAGCTAAGCTAAAGCTAAGCTAAACGCTAAGCGAAAAGCTAAGCGAATCGCTAAGCTAACGCTAAGCTACAGCTAAGCTAAAGCTAGGCTAAAGCTAAGCTAAACTAAAGCTAAAGCTCCCAGGGGACTGGGGGGAACCGCTCCCAGGGGACTGGGGGAACCGCCCGGGGCGCTTTGCACTGCCCGGCCCCTTTAAGCTAAGAGAGTAAGAACCCTTCTAGGCAGAGCCTAGGTAGGGAATTGGGTTAATAGTCAATGTAGTGAGTTAAAGGTTGAAAGGCAATACGGGTGGGGGGGGAGGTGCGGAGCCCTCCGAGAGTATCCACCTGCGGGGGCGAGCGCTTCCAGGAGGAGCGAGCAGACGTTCGGAAGTGGAGGTCGGACCTCCACAGGACGCAGAAGGACATACTAGCACTGTGTCTCCTCATCGGAGGCGCACGTCCGACCCGAATACATCGCGCAAGAATCGTGTGGTGCATCGCTTCCCGAGCGGTACGGACAGAGAGCCCCCGCCACGTAGCTTATACCGTCAGATTTCTCGGCGTGCGCGTCGCCCCTGGGGGGGCGACGCACACATGGTATTAGGAGCAGGAGGAGGGGGTGGAGACGGAGGAGGAGGAGCAGGAGGAGGAGCAGGAGGAGGAGCAGGAGGAGGAGGGTGGTCGAGTTTGTTCCCCGCCGAGAGAAACAGGAGGGGAAGGGACCGAAACTAAAGACTCTTCGAGTAATGCGGCAAGTTCGTATCGTGCCGACTTCGGCGTTTTTTTTGTTGACACTGCGGGAATCGTTCAACCTTGAACGATCGGCCTTTTGCGAACCGTTAGATCCTTCAACATCGACGTTCAAGATTGAACGCCGGCGTCGGGGTCGCCGCAAGTCGACACGACACGGACCTACCGTATATTGGGCGACGCCGATTCGGAAATGAAGGCCGGACCTCCATTCTTTTTTGTACTTAATCAATGTATATATTTTTTTTATGTTTTTTGTTCGTTTCCGTTCCTTGGGCCTCTGGGCCCTGAGGACCTCGGGCATCGTCGGCCCTCCTGCGGACCTGCGGGGGCGAAGGCCCTCCGTTTTTTCACCGTATCCGAAAAAGTGTCTCTTGAAAATGGAAACGTCAAAAAGACAGCGGCCAGAAACTGCAACAAAAACGGCTCCAGGACTGGAACTGCAGACGGAACCAAGAATAACAACAACGACGACGGAACCGGTACAAAAACGGCGTCGGAGCCGGCAACAAAAACTGCAGAACGCAACAGGACAAAAAAAACGGCCCTGTCGTTTCCAGGGCCCACTAAGAGCCCTGGACGGGGCGGAGAGACAAAGGGGGGGGCAGTCGGGAGAGGCACCCCTCCGATGCGTTCCCAAGGGCCCCGCGGGGCCGAGGCGAGAGGCGCCCGGAGTGGCAGAGCTCATCGCGTCGGAGCCCCAGGGAGGCCCTCAAGGGGCCCCCCGAAGAGGCTCCCAGGAGGCACCCAGGAGGCCCCACACCTGTCCTCCAGGGCCCTCCGAGAGCGCTTTGAGGAGACCCCAAGAAGCATCCGTGGGGACTCTGACCCACGTCGGCGTCACCGTCGCCGCCGCCGCCGCCGCAGCCGTCGTCGTCGTGGGCCCTTCACGGGTCGGCGGCCGGCGCCGGCCGTGAGGCCTTCGCAGTCGTGCCGTCGGAGCTCTGGGAGGGGCTGGTCATCGCTCGGACGTCCATGCCTCGTGCCTCTTTTCGGTGTCGTGCGTGTTTTTTTTTGTCTTCGCTCAAGATGCTCCTCGACGGGCCTCGCCGAGGGAAACAAGGCACAGGGCACAGGCCCGAGCTATGCCAACGGGCAGGCAGGCTTCGCCGGCGTCCTGCAGCCGCAACGTAGCAAAAACACACGGAACAAATTCGCCGACCTTGTCGGCGTGTGCGAGGGGCTTGTCTGTTCGAGTCGTCGTCTCCGTCGGTCGGGGAGACGAGGAGGGGAGCGAGGAGGGAAGAAGATGAAGAGGGGAAGTCGGATGGGGGCACACTGGGGGGATGAAGACGGGAGGAGCGAGGACGCGACAGAATGGCCGAGAGCGAAGGTCTCCGGGCAGAGAGCGGCAACCATGTGCAAGAAGAAGCGGAGAGGGGAGAGGGTGAGGACAGAGCAGGGGATGATCCTCCTCCTCCTCCTCCCATCCATTCGAGCAGAGGCATAAGAGCAGATGTTGGGTTTGGAACATCGGGGCCTTATGACCGGATCTATCACTCAGCCGTGCGCGGGAACTACGACGAATAAGGACGACGAACGACGACGGATGACACATGACGATGACGACCGACGACGATGACGACCGACGACCGACGACGAAGGACGACGACGACGACCAACGACTAACGACAACAAACGATGACGAGCGTCGTTCGTCGTCGTTCGTCGTCCCTCGTCGCTCGTCGTCGTCGTCGACGGTCGTCATCCTGTCGTCGTCGTTGCCCGCCGTCGCTCGCCGTCGTCTGTCCCGGCGGCGCGACCATGGGGGACAGGGAGCGGGGGCGAAGGCTTCTTCTGATAAGGCTGCTTCTGAGCCAGCTGGTTGTTCCTGGAGGGGGAGGAGGAGGAGGAGGAGGGGGGTGGAGGAGGGGAGGAGGAGGATGAGAGGAAGGAGGAGGAGAGGAGGAAATGAGGAGGGGGAGGAGGAGAACGAGGAGGAGGAAGAGTCTTCTCCCCCTCCAGGCCCCCTCCCCCACACACCCCTCTGCACGCGGCCGAGTCGTCTGTCTCCCTCTGTCGTCGCTCGTCCTCGTCGCTCTCCGTCGTCGCTCGTCGGTCGCCGCCGCCGCCGGCGGCGAGGGCGGGCGGCGGCGGCGAGGGCGCTTCTCTACCACCTTCAAAGCCACCTGAGCGAGCGAGGCACCGCCGTCGGTGCCCGCGCGCGTGGAGCCGGAGGCTTCGAGTGGGGGGTCGACTGCACAATCGATGTACCCCAAACTTGATGTGTGCGCCAAAGCTGCCAGAAAGTAGACATACTGCCCGTAGATCTACGAACAATCTACGCACTTTTTGTAGACACGACAAGAATTCAAATCTGGGGTCCATCGGTTCTGTAGTCAATACCCTACTCGAAGCCTGTGTTTTCGGTGCGCGGGCACGCGCGAGGAGTGTACAGCCAAGCTATCGCAACAAGGAACGCCAGATAGGGAGCGAAACCTCCTGCTTCCAAGAACAATCAATGACATGACCAGAAATTGTCGCACGACGGAGCAGCGACGCGACCGTCACGCTTCCTTTTCCAACTGGGACCCTCCATTGCCGCAGAAGCCCCAACCAGCGCCCCCCGTCCCACCTGAGGGGCAACGATAGGCGGGGGCTCAAGGTGGGGAAACGTCGAGCTTGAATCGGCGATATGTCGCCGACAGGCCCCCGATAGCAAATCCGCACACTCCTGGACTCGGAGGGCCATCGAGCCCCTCATCGGCGATGAATGGGCGATTGGCGGTCGGTGCATCCGCCCCTGAACCCATGCCCCCCCCCTACCTCGCCATCGCTCGTACGTCGACTCCCTGTGCATTTGTCGATCCCGTGCGCTGTTTTTTCTCGCAAGAGAATTCAGTATGCTCCTCGATGGCCCTCGCCGAACAAAAACCATGCACACGCCCGAGCGATGCCGTGCTGGGGGTCGATGCATCCGCACCTGGTAGAAGAAGAAACAACTGCATAACCATAAACTGTTGGCGCTCCGCGCGGATTTCTCGGGTCCGCGCTGGGCCCGCCCTGGCGCGCTCCCAACAGTTTATGGCTATGGCGTCTCTTTCTTCTTTGACCTGAGCCCATACCCCCCCCCTACAAGCGGCCTTGATTGGAGAGGGCGCGCGAGAGAACACAAGACCCTTCCGAGGGCCACGCTGCCCTAGGAATGCAGAAGACACAGGTCGCGAAACGCAGGACGCGCAAGGGTGCCTTCGATCTGGCAGGGTCGACCTACTAATCGGGGCCGACTGTACGTTGCCCTTGAGTAGGGCTGGGGGGTCAGGTCTTCAGAACACCCCAAATGGACGTGAAGGGGCGCAACCAACCTGTTCGGCGAAGCTGAAATTGATGCACCACATCCTGCGTCAAACCAAAACTACATAGGCGAACGGTTGGACTTTGCACATCTTCGTCGGCTTACCCGGCGAGACGTTTGACCACCTTGACGTCCCGTTGTTCGTGGTCCTCCTGCAGAGGAAGGCGCTTTCTGACCCTCGGTGCTACTCAAAGTTGCCCCCCCCGAAGGGTCAGGGGGGCAGGGCTGCCTGGATGCGCGGACCCAGGTGCGGCGCGCGCGCGCGTGGGGGCACAGGACGCAGGCCGCCGGAGGCGCAGCCGCGCTCGCCAATGCCGTCGGCGCGCGGCGACGGCGAGCGCAGGCCACGAGGAGGCTCGGCGGCGAGCCAAGGGGGGAGGTGAGAAGGACTTCGCAGAAGCCCCCGCGCCGTCCGAGAAGTTCTCCGTGCCTTCGGGGAAGGCTCAGACAGTTCCTCAAAAGGCCCGGGGACTGGCGAGCCTTCTGTGAAGGCCCGCCCCTTCTCACTTCCCCCCGGACGCGCCGCTAAGAGAGGGGGGAGGAAGAGGCGGAGGAGGAGGAGGTAGAGAAAAAAGAAGGAGGAGGAGGAGGAGAAGGAAGAGTAAGGAGGAGGAGGAGGAGGATGGCGAGCGGGAGGAAGGAGAAGAGAGAGGAGAGAGGAGGTAGGACGAAAGGAGAGGTAGGAGGAGGAGGAGGAGGAGGAGGACGACGAGTTGGAGGAGGAGGAGGAGGAGGAGGAGGAGGAGGCGTTCCCCCCCTCGCTCGCCGCCGAGAGGAGCCCCTCCCCCGAGCCCTCCCGGACCGGAGCGCCCGAGCGCGCAGGCCGCGGGCGCGCCAGCTGCAGGCGCGCGCGGGGAGGGGCCGCCCCCCCCGACGGGGGCCCACCTCGCCCCGGCGGCGCACGAATGAAGGGGCCCCAGGACACACAAATAAATACACACAAATAAACTGATTCCGCATATTTTCCCATATTTTCTGGGATTCTGTCTTCCCCCCCACTTCCCATATTTTCTCATATTTTCTGGGTAATCGAGGATTAATTGTGTCTGTGTGTTTCTTTTCCTCCTGAACGAAGGGGGGAGGAGAGGCGGAGGAAGAGGAAGAAGAGGTGTGTTTCTCTTCCTCCTTTCCATGACGCGCCGCTAAGAGAGGGGGGAGGAAGAGGCAGAGGAGGAGGAGGAGGTAGAGAAAAAAGGAGGAGGAGGAGAAGGTAGAGTAAGGAGGAGGAGGAGGAGGAGGAGGAGGAGGAGAGGAGGAGGAATCGAAGAGGAAGGAGGAGGAGGAGGAGAGAGGAGGAAGAGGAGGAGGACGAGTTGGAGGAGGAAGAGGAGACGGAGGAGGAGGAGGAGGTAGGAGAGAACGGAAGGAGGAGGAGGAGGAGGAGGAGGAGGAGGAGGAGGACGGTGTGGAGGAGGAGGAG